GCCGGAAACCATGGATCAACTAATAACAGACCAGAGAATTTACAAAAAAAAAACCAAAAAAAAAACAACACAAAATGCTGAGAAAGCTGAGAATGAAAGAGAGAAAGAAGCACAAGAAGCACGCATCAGTGGAAACACAGCTAGAAACCCCAGTGCCCAGACATGCCAGGCTCTAAATAAATCACTCCAAGAACAAGCTTGCACTTCAGCACCTTCATGCCAATGGAAAAGACTAGAGCATGCACAGTCCACTGTGATCTTTGGAAGGAAAAATCCAAATAAGATTAATTCATTACTGTCATTCTGCGCAGCTCTGATTCCATTGTTTTTGGAATATTCTTTCAAGTTTCCCTTTAGATATGTACATGAAAGCTAGCAGATGTTTCTTTAAAGAAAGATGATCACCACAGTCTGGCTATGGTGGTGGTGCCAACCATGGTCCTGGTCAGACTCGCCCACCGCATTAGGAAGCACATGAGAAATCATGCCTAGTTAAATAGGAAGTCTTCAAAACATTACGCATGCCACAGCTATGACAATGACCTTTCACTAAGGATTAAAATAAACAGCAAAGAATGAACTAACTGCATAAGTAGAAGGATGAATAACAGAGTTTTATTTTTAAAGCTCATACCATTAAGTTCATGCAAAATTTGTAATAGCTATTCATGTATTTTGGCATAGTCACAACTTATTTCCTAAAGGCTCTGCAGTATTTTCACAAAGCATTCAATTTTTTATGAGGCTTTTTTTGAAAAAAAACATGTCTCCAAAAGGAAGAACACAAGGATGATTTAACAATAGGCACTGCGTAGGAAGAGACCTTCTCTTTCAACATATGGAGGAAACAAAGTGGCAGGACAACAAGATGAATCTTTGTATTCCTGCTTCCAGCAGCAGCGTCCAATTTGCTCCCACTGACACAGCGTACTTGGAATTTGAAATCCTCAAGTTACCATGGCAATGCAGTTACCTATTCGTGAGAAAATGTGTTTTACTTTTTTTTTTCCCCTCTTTTTTTTTTTTTTTTTTTTTTTGCTTCCTCCAGTCTCCATTTAAAATTACAAAAAAGAATACAAGATTCAGTGCTTAAGACCACACCTCTTGCAAAAACCAAATGACTCCAACTTGTGTGCTATAAGCTTCCAAGACCCTGTGACACTGGCTGTAGCATGGTCAGCAGTATCACTCGGCCTTCTTCAGAACTAATCCTGCAGTCAACAGCCCACACCCTGCTCACTGAGACAACATGCCCCTTCTTCCAGACTGCTCTATGGTAGCTTGCCAAACAGAACGACAGAAAGACATGGAAAGGATAAAGCAAATAAATAAATAGTTCAGTGTTTTCTACTCTTTAAAAGAAAGTAAGCAAACACCTTTGGTTTTTTTTTCCAGCTAAAATCACACATGTGAATTCTTCAGATGCTTGGTCTCGCTAAGAGAGCTGGCCTATCAATTCTGCATTGCCAAGACATCATCTTGCTGAGCTCAGCTCCACTTCTTGTGCCCAGGCCCTCCTTCCTGTCCTCACAAAGACAGTCTTATCTCTTTCAAGTATTCATAGGCATTATGTGCAGCAGGCTGGCCATCTCAGCAACATGTACTGGTGCAACTGAGGATCAAACAAGATACCCTCTCCTTTTCATGAAAACAGACTCCAGAAACTACCAAGACTAGGACATGACTTGGTATTTAACTATCCTAGGAACAGTTTAACTAGAAACCTAGGAGAAAGTCCTAGGTTCTCTGCAAAACAAAGAAGAGTAGAAAACCAAAGTTCTGTGCATAAAACAGTAAATTATCTTCACGTTCCTGGAAAAGTCTGTTTGACATATTAGTGGGACTGCTGCAATAAAGCACTTCCTGAAGCATGTCTCAGTACAGCAAACAAAAAGCCTCAGTTACTCAGGCACCACAGAACCAACACTTCATTGGAGTCCCCAGCATCTTCCCCAGAGGGAACACAGGGGTGACTCTGCCTGGATGGCACACAGGCTTAGGGACAAACATCTGCTTCTGCAAAAGCTCCAACATCTTTCAGTCTCTCCAGAGAAAAGTAATTGTTTCTGTGCTATTCTGCATGCAGAAGGATTGAGTTAGGGAATCAAACTGGTTCTTGCCTACTGTGCCACTGCTAGAAAAGATGTCAAGTTCTTGTTGAAACGGTATTTCTCTGGGAGAAAATACACCCTGTACCATTATAGCAGCAAACAGTGAGTCAGGATTTGCTGCATGCTATTCCTGGCTCTACCAGTAACCCATTATGCACCCAAAGGCAAACCACTTATGGGAGCATTTGTAGAATTGGGCTACATTGTGTTGTTCTAAAGGCTTTGACTGGAAAGCAGTGGGAATGCATTGGGAGGATTATATCCTTTATTCCATCCTGCCCTTCCATATTATGGAATTTTTATTTTTATTTATTTTTTTTAAACGGAAGAGTGCATCCCAAATTCCACATATCTGCAGTGTGCCAGGCTCAGGCCTCCCATCCAATTGACTGGCAATTACTCAAAATGAAATGCTCACTCTTACATCTGAACTTTTGCAGTTTCAGGGTCAGTTAAATGGCTTTGCACTGATTTTTAATCTTCACTCTGATGCTGCTTTCAATTAACTTGACCTCTCAAACAGTCAGTACCCACCTATGTAACCTAAGCAAAGAACTTTGTGTTTTACTGGTGCTACAGAACTAAATACATATAAAAGGAAAACTGATTCTCAAATCTAAAACTAGTAATAATTACACCTCTTATTTTGGGACGTACCATCATTCTGAAAAGAAACAGATTTCTTTCCCCTTATGCTAGTGTTAGACTCTTTGAGTGCATCAAAAGAGGGGATGGTTCAGTTTCCCACTCCTCCTACGCCTTGAGGATAAAAGTTAATGGAGAAAGAGGAATTTAAGTAAGATGACAGTGGCAGATGAGGTACCAGGGAAAAACCAACAAACCAATCAAAAAAAAAAAACAACACTCTTTCTCCACTGGACCAAACACAGTTTCTCACAAGGCTTAGAATTCAGTGAAATTTGCTCTGTTCTGAGGATGCAGCAGAGCAGCAACGACAACACCAGGCAGTTTTTGACACAAGTCTCGCCCTGAAGACATTCAGAGCAGTTCAACACAAAGGACTGTGGAGAAGCTGATCCGCAGCTCAGGACCGGTTTGCAGGATCAGCTCTGGGGCTGGGGAAGATAGAAACGCTGCACGGACAGAACCGGCAGAGCTGCGGGAAGGAACCGCACCGACTGCTGCGCCAAGCGTCGGAGGGACCTCCTGGAGGACAGCAGCAGCCAGGACTGCCGCGATCACGGCTTCTCCCAGTTGTCAATGGAATAAATAGCCTGGCATTCGTGCCCTCCAACACAAGGCTCGGCGTAACCCGAAGACCCGCACCCCGCCACGAGGCCCTGCGTTACATAAAGCACATCCCCGGCGCTCCGCGTGCCACCCAGCCCCGTTCCTGAGCAGAACAAAGAGCGGTTGAAAGGTCACGCAACGGGCCGGACCACGAGCCCCCGGCGGGGTCACGCCTCAAACGGGTCTGGGCGGGGCCGCGAGGAGCCGCCAGGAGAGAGGCTCCGCCGCCCGCACCGCCCCGGAGCGCTTTCCTCCACAGGAAAGCACCTCCACAGAAGCGAGCTGAGAGAACGAAAACCACCACGAGAAAAATCGCAACGGCATCAACAGCACCGATACGCTGCCAGACCTATCGTTCCAGAGCAGCCTTTCGCTCAGCTGAGTCACACGCTGCCCATTAATTAATCCTAACCGGGAAGAGCTCTACGTATCGCGGGGAAGGCAGGGAAACAGGACTCAGCGGAGAGGAGCAGGGCGCTTCCCGCGGACACGGTGCCGACGAGCGCCGTTCCCACCCCGAGCCCCTCAGCCCCCCCCCGCAGCCGCTCCCCGAGCGCCGCAGCCCTGCAAGGTCACACACGCCGCGGGGCAGGCCAGGCCGGGCCGCCGTCCCGGACTACATTTCCCAGCCGGCCGCACGGCCTTCCTCCCTAGCCCCCGATCTCCGCAGCCCCGGTAGCGCGGTGACCGCGCGCGGCCGGGCCCGCAGCCCGCCGCCACTCACTGAGCTCGTCCTGCGCGGCCGCGGCGGCCGCAGCCATGTTGCCGGCCGGGGAGTGAAGGCAGGCGAGAAGGCGGAGGGCGGGCTGGGAGACGCGCCGCGCTCAGCCCGGCCACCGCGAGGCCGCTCCCGCTCCCGCCCCTCTCTCTCCGCAGCTCCGGGCGGCACCGGGCCGCTCCCGCCTCCTCCCCCGCCCCGACGCAAGCACCACGAGGGACGGACGGACGGGCCCCGCGCCGCCCTCCCTTTATATTTAGAAAGAGCTGAGCCATCGCCCCGCCGCCCCGCCCGCTCCGCCATCACGCTGACCCGAGTCCAGGCTGCTCTCCATGCCGGCCCGCGCCCGTCTGCGCGCACCGCAGGGGCGGGGGAGAAAAGCGCTCCGCGGCGGCGCGGGCGGCGGAGCCTCTCCTCCTGGCGGCTCTCCGCGGCCCCGCCCAGAGCCGGCGCGGCCCGTTGCCCCTCGTCCTTTTGACACCCGCCCTCCAGATATCTAGGAGCACTGCTGAGATCCCGCCTCGGTCTTCCCCAGGCCGAACAGCCCCGGCTCTCTCAGCCACTCCTCATCAGGGAGCCGCTCCTCATGCGGCCCCGCGCTCCCCCTCGGATGGGTGAACAAGCAGGATAAGCTGGAAGAAGTCGGGAAGAGCGCTGGGATTTGGCAAGGCACGGGGCACGGGCAGGAGGAGCAGCCGTGCAAAAAACCCGTCTCGAGGGGCAGTGAGGCGCCTGCACGGCCGCGCAGAGCTGCGCGTGCCCCGGGCGACGCCTACGGCGGCGGCAGCCCCCTGCCGGCGGCCGGGGCAGGGCGGGCTGCAGGGCGGGCTTTACGCCCCGCTCCCCGCCCTCTCCCGCCCCTCCCGGCCCGGCGGTAGCGCGCAGGCGCGGCGGCAGCGGTAGCGGCGGGGCGCACCGAGATGGCGGCGGCCGGCGGCCGGCGTTGGCTGCTGTGCCTGTGGCTGTCGGCAGCACTGCTGCTGCCGCGCCCGGCGCGGGGCCTGATCGAGGGACTGTACTGCGGGCGGCGCGTGTGCTACGAGGTGCTGGGCGTCGGCCGACAGGCCAGCAAGGCGGAGATCGCCCGCGCCTACCGGCAGCTGGCTCGTCAGTACCACCCCGACCGCTACCGCGGGGAGCCGGCCGCGGCGGGCGGCTCGCGGGCGGCGCACGAGAAGTTCCTGCTCATTGCCACCGCCTACGAGACCCTCAAGGTGAGAGAGCGGGACCGCCGCCGCGGCCGGAGCCGCTCCGGTAAGAGACAGCGCGGGGCCCGGGCGGGAGCGGGGCCCTCGGGCGGGCGGCGGCGGCCCCGCGCGCCCCGGCGGCGTCGTGCCGAGCGGCGCGGG